ACAAACTGAACCTTTGAAATAGGAGGAATGTGTAATGGTTTCCAGATCATTTTAAGAACAAAAGAACCTATCTTATTTTAAGGTTTTCATTAAAAAAAAAAAAATGGACACAGCGCTTGAAGCATTAAATAACTTTGTCCATTACTGCAGACTTAAACTATCAAAGCAAGTAAGAGTGGAGATTCTTTTCCTTTAACTGGGGGCAACTAGGGGAAGGGTACCCTAAGGGAGGCCCAGTGATCTTTCTGGGCACCTTCCTCAGGACTGGACTCATCTCTCCTGTCCTCAGAGAAAGAGAAACAATGTGAGATCCTTTGTTTAAACTGTGAATGTATCCTACAAGAATAGTCGCTACCAGCCCGGAGTCTCAGTGGAACTAACTTTAGAACCGATTAATGCAGGCATAGAATTGGGCCTTTGTTTGGGAGCTTTGGGGGAAGGGAGTCCCATAGAGGCCTCTGGAGTCCCATGGAGACCTACAGGGACTTCAAATGGTGGCATTTAAGATGGGAATGTTTGTCTTGGGAAATGCTGGTGGCTGAGCTTTGACAGCTAAGCACAGGTTGCCTGATCCTTTCCCTCCGTCTTGGCTCTAGCAGCCAGGCAATGCATTAAACTGGTCTTTTTGACTTTCCTGAGCAATATCTAATGAACAAATAGCACAATTCTGTGATATTAAGCAGGATGCAAATTCCAGATACTGAAATCATGAACACCGTGAAGACTGTCTTTTCTGTGGGCCTGGAAATGAAGCAGTCCACTGTATTAGGACAAGGCCAAGCATTGCATTTCACTAGACGCTGCATGAAGAAGCCATTGTACATGATGTAAAAGACATACATGAAGACAGCTTCGAAGATGACCCGGAAGAAGATGCTGGTGGTGTAGGTCCACCAGAGGGACCCTTCGATACGGACCTTCTGGGTTTTGATCTCTTCAATGTCCTTAAACTCGTTCTTTATCTCTCCCTTCATGAACTTCCTTTTCTTTTCATGTCTCCGGTAGGCCACATGCATGGCTACCAGGAGGGCTGGCGTGGACACGAAGATCAGCTGCAGGGCCCAGAGCCGGATGTGAGAGATGGGGAAGTAGTGGTCGTAGCACACATTCTTGCAGCCAGGCTGGAGGGTGTTGCACACAAAGTCGGCTTGCTCATCTCCCCACACCTCTTTTGCAGCCACCACGAGGATCATGATGCGGAAAATGAATAGGACGGTGAGCCAGATTTTCCCAATGCTGGTGGAGTGTTTGTTGACACCCCCGAGGATACTCTGTAGTGTGCCCCAATCCATCTTGTCCTCTGGGTGGGTGGCACTAGAAACGACAAATGAACACAAGACAGGTGTCACTCACTGGTCTGGCCAGCCTCCAGGTCCTAGCCCTGTTCTGGGCACAGTCTCCTCCAGGATGGCGACAACACAACTTTACTTTACTATAGGGTTAAGTGTGTCATTCCCAAACCATCTCTAACGTGTCTGTGTGCTCTCAAGTACAGTTCTCTAAAAGACACTTGTTCACCTGAGTGATTCATCCAGTCTTTAGCACATAAAAAAGATGTGGGTACAGGGGTGCACCAAAGCAAAGTACTTGTTAGTCTAAAGGCAGAACTGAGTTTCCACACAGGTCACTCAAAGGGCTGTGTTGGCAGCACCAAGCTTTGCTGTGTCTCACAGACCAAAGCTTGGACCAACTGCACCTTAAGAGGCACAGCTGCCCAGTTCGGATGACAGAATTTGTGAAGCTCCATGTGACCCAGTACAGTTTCCCTGTAGTCTCCAGGCTGAAGCCATTTCTTCAAAATATTGTCATATGCATGGGCTTGGGAGGCAAGAGTGATCTGTCTTTACTAATGGTTACATTTGCATTTGAGATTCCTCAGCTTAACCTTTCACTACAAGCTTGCTTCCACCTCTGTGTAAGAGGAATAGGGTCCAAAAAAAAAAAAAAAGTCTCTGCACTTAGGTTTTTACATGCAGGCTGGAGACTCTGCTGTCCAGTTAGAACTGTTTGGGTAATGCTCTGTATCTGTTGGGATGTGTGTGGCAAGTGAGCTTTGCTACTGTGGACTATAGTTTCAACTCTGACGTGATTCTAAAATAAATAATTATGAAAAGTGGCAGGAAATTTAACTCAGTGGTTCCCCAGCTACTGGTCCAAGGCTCTGACCATCAGTCCAGAAGCCAAGTTGCCTTGGGTGAAGAGGTGTGTATTGACTGTGCCCTGGATGAGCATTCACGAACCAATGCCCTTCTGTTTCATCCCAGGGAAGGAACTGTTCTCTCTGATTCATAGCTACGCCCTGTCTGTCACAATCAAGCCCTCTTTTGACAGGATCCCTCCCTCCCTCCTGCTGTCCTGATGAGTCACTTGCTTTACACCCCTTCCAAGCTGTAATGAATCCTCTTGCTCTCGCTTAAAAGCATCCTGCCCCCTGCCTAGTGAGCCTGGTAGCTATATCCTGTTTCCTAGTGAGCTACGCAGGCTCAGGGTGAAAGTCCCCCCGCCATGCCCATGGTGGCTGCTGCAGAACACCAAGGTCTTGGTGGGACTCAACTGTGTCTTGGTCAGAGGAGTCGGGGCCATGGGAAGCTGGCGTACACTGGTCCTATCCAACTTGGAAAATGGGAACACACAGGAAGAAACAGTGGCTGAGCAGGTTCAGCCCTGACCCATTTATACCTAGACTGTTCCGAGTCCCTTAGGGAAGCTGGTTGTCCTTTGAACAGTCTCGCAGCTCCATGTAGTCTGCCCCCAGCAAGCAGAAGTATTGAAAGCAACAGTGTTCTGTTTAAGAAAACAATCAGATTGGAATTCGACCTTCTAAGTTCATGTCCACTCGCTGAGTGGAGATCAGGACACGGACTGAAAGAAACATCCACAGACCTGACCCAAAATACAGAACTCACAGGTGAGTGGGGTATGTGCCTTCGCCTGCCTAGAGCATCCACAGACTAGCCCAGTTATTGTCAATTGGGAAAAATAAACTTCACAATAAAATCTTCACTTGTTTATAAAAATTAAAGTATTTGTTGAGTTTGAGCTTGTTCTGTTACCCTGGTTGGCTTCTAACTCCATGAAGCTGGGGTTAGTACACATCTATAATCCCAGAACTCTGGAGACAGAGGCAGGAGGATTGTGCTAACTTGAGGAAAACTTGGGCTGCAAAAAACAAACAAACAAACAAACAAACACACACACACACACACACACAAAAAAAAAAAAACAAAAAAAAACAAAAGAGAGAAAAACAAAGCAAAACAAAAACCAAACCAAAAAAAAAAAAAAATTAGGGAAAAAGGTTCACAGAATTGAATAAACAAGACCAGGAAAAAACTCCAAGAGAAAACCAAGTAGCTGGGTCATAATAGGTGTGGACCCCGGCACATCTGGTTGCAGCTACTTGTCTTAATGGCCTTTCCAAGACGAGGGAGAGATTAAAATTTGACCTCACAAGGGGCTTGGAGTACTGAGCCAGCCGGGTGAAATCGTCAATATTCAACTGTGGTGTAGGAGGTGATCTCCTGGCCTCTGACTAGGGAGGTCACAGGCAGGTCCCTACCAGGCCTGGGTCACTGCAGATTGCCTGGAGCGTTGCCAGAGTGTGAGGGACCGTCAATCATTAGCTCCCGAAAAGGAGACGGGAGCCTCTCCTTATTTGTTATATATGTAATATATTATATTAATATATAATATTATGGATATATTATAAATACCCTTATTTGCCTTGAAGGGTACTTTGGGGAGCTGGCGGAACACCGCCAGACGCTGTGCCCACCTCACCCTCTACCTTTCTCACAACTGTAACTAACTTAGCCCAGAGTTTCCAAAGGACTCCGGGGTAAATGGAGCCATGGCTGCGCCAGGCTTCTCAGGACAGTCCCAGAGACCCGGGCAATCCGTCCCATTTAGGCTTATGCTCCCTTCCAGTGAGGCAGCACGGAGGGGCTGATGCAAGAGTCCGGATGGACACGTTTCCCAGTAGCACACCATCTGCGAGTCTGTCTGGACTTCCAGCTGCAGAGCCCCACCTGAACGCAAACCCTTAAAAAGCGTTTAAGGAAAACGAAAAGCAATCAAAATCACCACTCAAGCGCAGGCTGGGGTCCCCTAGCTCGAGGGAGCGGCTACCGACGCGCGTTTTGGGCGGTCGCCCGCGTCACCCCAGTGCTTCAGGTGGTAAAGGTCAGTGTCTTCCCACGGAGGCCTCCTGCTTAAACAAATGAAACCGAGTTTTCCTGCTAAGCTTTCGGTTAGTTAAAAAAAACTTTCAATGGCGGCAGACAACGCAGCCAGGAGGCCTCGGGGAAATTCTAGCATAGGAACTTTGGCAACGCGTCGCAGTCCCGCGTGGAACGGCCTGTCCCCCGCGTCCCTCCCCGCCCCGCGCGGTGCGGACGCTTCCTGTCCTGTGCGCAGCAGCGAGCACGGCGGGAGCAGCCGGGTCCAAGAGCCCGGCCAGCCGCTCCAGCCGCAGAAACGCGTCCGCGGCTTGGGTCCCTATCCGCGGTGGCGGTGCCCCGCGGGGACGGCGCAGTGCGTTCCGGCCTCTGTTTCCCAGGACCCCGGTGGCCCGGACCTCGCCTCGCACCTCACGCGTCCCTACCGGCGGAGACTCGAGCTCCAGCCGCTGCGGGGCGTCGCGATCAAGCGCGGGCCACACTGCTGTGACTCGGGGGCGCGGATCGGCTGTCGCACCTGTGTCCCGAGGAGCGCGCGGCGCTGGCTGGCGAGAAGCCGCAAGGCGCTGTTGCCTGGAAGGTGCAGGTCCTGAGTGGGTAGCGGGGCCGGTCCCGGCTTGGTCCGGAGTGGGTGTCGGGCTGGTCCTGGGTTGGTCCGGAGTGGGTCGCGGGCTGATCCGGAGCTGGTTCGCCGCTGGTCCCGGCCGAGGCTGCGCTCTGTAGGCGGGAGCGCCGCCGACCGGCTGCGAGTCGGGCGAGCGGAGCGCGCAGAGCGCTGCGATCTTGGACACCTGTCGGCCGCGGCGCCTTTTAACCGCACCCCTCACCCCGCCTCTCTCACCCCGGAGCGATTGAGAAAGTTGCGGAGGAGGCGGCTCCGAGTAGCCCGCCGCCCCCAGCGCCGCGGGCGGGGCTCTCCGGGCACCCAGAGCCATCGGGCCCCGGAACCGCAGGCTCTCCTCGAGCCCCAGCCCCCAGCCCCCTCCCCCGATCCCAGAGATCCAGACTTTCCCGGTGTCTGCGTCCCGTGCGCAGCCTGAAAGGAGCCTGCAGACCCTGTCACCACCCAGGACCCACCACCCAAGGTCGCAAAGCTCCAAGCCCCAGCTCCTAGCTTTTGGGGAAGTGGGTAGTGGTGAAAGAGAGTTGATAATGTCGTCATTACTACTCTCACTAGTGGGAGAGTGCTATACATACATACGTGTACACACACACACACACACACACACACACACACACACACACACACACACACACACGAAAAACGGGCATTCCAAGGAGGTGAAACTTTGTGTCGGCCCGCAGCTTCCATGGCATACGAGTCTCCTCTCCCATAGGGGACCCGCAGCCTAGCGAGCCAGGGCACCTGGAATTCAGGTTTAAGGCAGACTAACAGGGGGCGCCATCAGGGCTGGCCAAATTCTGGCTTCTATTTCCCTGAATTCCCGACCTGATTCGATCCCTTTGAACAGTGTGCCAGTGGCTAGGCCAGGGGGCGGTGTAGAGGTGAGTCTCCAGGGCTGGCCTTGAAGTCTCAGCCTGGCCTGGAAGCGGACATGTCACTGCCTCGGGAAGGCGCTGTGTTTTCTTTTCCACAACTGAGATCATTGCAAGGAAAGGGCGCCCGGAATCTGCAGGAAAGAAAGAGAGCCAGGTAAGCCCGTCCGTCCTTCTTGGAGTCCAGGCTTCTGGAAAGACCCTTGGCAATCTGTGTCTACAGTTCGATTCCCTCTCCGCCAAGCTGGATGTGGATTATGAGGTCTGTGTTCACATTGCTTAGCTCTCTGGATAGTTTTGAGAGGCAAATGAAACAAAGTGGACATTCACAGAGCATTTAGATAAGAACTTAAAATATCAAGAGCAGGCTGTGCTCGGGGACACCTAGGCCAGCTTCACCCTCCTCAGTTACCTGCGACCTGAGTTTGGGGTGCAAACCTCATGTCCTCACAGGGTTTCCTCAGATCAGTGAAGAGATAGTGATCCATCCTGATGAGGCCCAAGGGGGTCTAAGAAATGACTCTCAGTGAGAGGGACAGAGCTGAGGGTGCTCGCTCACTTTTCCTTGCAAAGCGAGCTTATTGTCCAGCACAGACCTAGCTTGAGGGGTTTGAACTGAGGCTACTACCCCCGCCCTCTTTCTGTTAAGTCTTAACCTAAGAGGGGGTGTCTGTAATGAAGAGACAAACCCCCAGGAGGCCCACATCCTTTAGACTGCCTTTCTAAGAGAGGTGCTGAATCAGTGTGTGAAGAATGACTGGCCAAGCCAGCTGGGGTGGTACGACTCCCTTGGCCCGAGCACATTTAGACATGAAGCCAAGAGGTGGTGAGGTGGTGGCAGCTGGCGGAGGTGGAAGAGTGTCTGTACCTTTAGTTTTTCGTGGGTAGTACAGTTCTAGGCTAAGTGGAACTCCCGTTCAGTGAGAATGAGAGAAGCTTCTAGAATCATTGCAGGAAGTCGGCTGGTAAAAAAGTTAAGCTGGAGATGAGAATCGACTCACTTTCCCCATTGAGCAGTTTCACCTGAGGTTTTAATGCCCACGTTATGATTATAGGTTCAACGTCTAGTTCCCCAACTTGCTTCTGCAGATCTGCATAATGGCCGTGTGTTGGCTGCTGGTCACAGCCGCTGGGAATATTAGGATTTATAGTTCATCTCCTCTAAAGTCCCCACTGAGAACTCAGCTCTTGATTTTCATCTGTTTCATCCAATTCCCCTTGTTTCTTTGTGTTATGTTTTCTTCCCAACTAGACCAGAGGCTCCTCCAGGGCAGGAAATGTTGAATTTATTTGTGTATGTGCATTCTCCAGGGGAGGGGGTTAGGGGAGAGAAGAGGAGAGGGGAGGCTAGAAAGGAGCTGGGAAAGGTTTGACCATTTGAGATTATCTCCGAATGAAGCCAGATGTGCATCCAGTTAACAGATCACAGAAAAGAATCTGTGCCCCCCCCTCCACCTCCATTACAAGCATTGCTTTGATAAACCGAGCATTGGAAATAAACCCTCCTCTTCTCTCCCTGGCTTTCATGTTTCAGCATACGGCCCGTGAGAAGCTCAGCCCTGGTAACATGGTGGGAAGGGAGCAGCAGCTCACAGACCAGCAGCTGACCAGCTCACTTTTGTCTTATTCACGTGTAGAAACTAACCAGACAGAGAACAGGTTTGGTTTTTCGTTTTTGTTTGTTTGTTTGTTTTTGTTTTGTTTTGTTTGACTTGGCTTTAAGTGCAATCCCATGACATCTTCTAGGCTGTCCTTGAATGAAGGGAACAGCAAGGCCAGACAACGGTGAGGGCTGAGGAGGGGCCTATGAAGTAGCTGTGGATGATTAACCAGCGAGGAGCTCTGAGCCCTGCACCTCGTCACATCCATGTGTCAAGACAGGCGAGTGTCTGGTTAGCACTGAGAACATGAATGCTCGCTGGTTATCACTTTCTTCATGATGTTGAAAGGTGACAGGCTAATATTTAGGCTACTTAGTATTTTAATTTGATAGTTGTTTTCTGTAAATAAACTCAAAAGAACTCATTATTGTGCAAGAAATCAGTGCAAGATAAATTATAAATCTTGCCATTTTGATGAATGACTGCTTACCAGATTCTTCCCAGAGAATCCTGGGAAGGATGCTCCAACACACACACACAAACACACACACACACACACACACACACACTTCACATTTCTGAGTCACAAATCAAATGCAGGTGATGGCAGAGAATGTTTCAGGACAAGAAAAGGCTTGTGAGTGTCTGGAGTCCCTGTCCCACCACTTGACAAGTTTTCAGATAAGCTGGGCCCATCAATCGCCTTGGGGAGAGACATCAGCCCTTTGGGCTGCATACTCCTTTCCTGAGTTTGCTATTGAAACATCAATCCTATGAGTATGATTAATAAATCATATCCAGCTCTTCCCAAAAGAGCACTTGGAAAGCAAAGGGCATCTGGCTTCCCCGAATAGTTAATAATGACTTACATTTGATAACGTAACGTCATAGCAGGAGCAGCTCTGCTGGACCCTCCAAGTCTGTGTGGGTGATTATTACACGAGATGCGCTTTCACTACAACCTCTCTTGTTGTGATTTTGTCTTGAGTCAGCTTCTCTAGCCCAGGCTGGGCTTGAACTCCCCATCAGTTAAGGATGATGTGAATTATACCTATGCCTCTGCATCCTTAGTGCTGGCCCCACAGGCCTATACCTTCAAACCTCGTTTCTTCATTTATCTCCGAGTCATACCATTCCTATACTTTCTAAAACTTATTCATCTGAAATCATTTAGGAAGAATTGGCTTTAGAAAAAGCCAATTGTTATAGTCAGAGTAAAAATAAAATGCACTTCAGGCTTTCAACAATTTAACCTCTCCCAAATTAAAGACATTTAACCCCCCAACTTTTACGCTGTGGCAGCCTGCTGTAAGTGGCTCTGTTTTCTTTCTTTCTTTCTTTTTTAAATTTTAACATAGATGTTCTGGTGAAACCGAAATAGCTGTGCCTCAGCTGCAAGAGTGTGGTGAGAGACCTCAGTGGCATGGCTGGATGAGCACGGACTCTTCCTTGCAAACACACCACTGAGGCTCTTCTGTGGTTAACTGAGCAGATCGTGGAAGAATTACAAAGATCCTTCCAAACATGTTTGTCTCAAACACACACACACACACACACACACACACACACACACACACACACACATCTTGTAACGAAACAACCATAGCTACCGTTGCTGGCCAGTAGGAAACATTCCTTTCTGCTGAACAGAAATTTAAATTCTGTGTGTTACAGTGGCTAGTCAGCATGGAAATTCTGCATCATCCACAAAGGAGCCAATGGAATTTCTGTATTCTGATTTGTGTGACAACAGTATTGTGCCCTATAGTATTTTGAATTGTTTTTTGGAATGAGCAAAGGGGGAGGAGACCTCATGCTATTGTAGAACAAAATTATAGTCAGGGTTGATAATGGATTATTGATACTTGGTTATTTTATATTTGACAGACAATAGCAACTCTGTGTGAAACACTCATCTACAGTATTGTGGACTTAAGGTTTTGTTTCCTGGAAACCACTGATCATGACATTAGGTTTTTGCTCCCCAGGTCCCAGTTCTGCTGTGTCCTGCAACCTGCAAATCTCCCTTTTGAGGACTGAATATGAAATTATTTGGCTTGAGGATTTAAAATAGAGCTTATGTATGTGGTAGCTATTCATTTAAACTTATCCTTAAACTGAGAAACATTTCCATTTTGGAAGAAGTGTTCTTAAAAGAAAAGGGGGGGAAATAAATCGCAGGGCCAGAGTAAAGAATGGAACACAAGTGCTTGTAATACCTAAGGTGTACAGTAGATGGCACTAAAAAGACTTGCTCAGAAGCCCTGTACTGGGAGAACATTTTCTATGTATTCTCTAGTCTAGCGTTGCTGGTCCTGATGTCTTGAGCAGGCTGGGAAATAAGTTGATTTCTTCCCACCCCCTCCTCTTCCCTATTGCTCCCCCTCTTATTCCTTATGCAGACATGAAACAATAAAAAAGAGGGTATCAGAGTGCATTGTTCTTAAGAAGGGTAAGTAATGCTTTGTGGGATGTTTGTGCACACAGACCCCCAGATCCGGTGTAAAGTGCATTCCTTGATGTCAGTATCCGTCACAAGCAAATGTGGAATGCTCCTGTTCTGTTCCATCTCCAGGGAGACCAGATACATCACAGCAGCTGCAGGTGAGACAGGCCTATAACATAGCGGAGAGACCTGTCGGCTCCAGATGTCACCTCCCACCTCGGCTGTGCCTTAAGTTCACAGCTGACAATCCCAACAGGCCCCTAGCTGGCAAGATGTGTTGTGGGTGGGCAGCTTAAGGACATTCTTCAGGTTGGAAATGGACATCTGGTCTCTCGCTAGACCTTTCCTCCCCAGGACTCCCCATTCTGAGCTAAAAACAATAGCAACATCTAGCAAGGTCTTTCTTCCCCCACCTTTTTATCTTTATGTCTTTTGAAACAGGATTGGCCTGGAGCTTGCTCTGTAGACCAGGCTGGCCTAGAACTACCTGCCTCCGCCTTCTCATGCTGGGATTAAAAGTGTGTGTCACCACGCCCAACCTTTAGGTCTTTTATTAAATAAAAGTTTGTCTTAAAAGGAGTATAAGTAGTGCTTTTGATAAATAACACTGTTACCCACCCATCATTTTAGTGGATTTATGTATGTAAAGAACTACATGGAAGCCTGTGTCTATGTATGATGTGTGCAAGTGTATATGTGCACATTCATGTGAGCTTGTGTGTGTGCGCGTATGTGTGTAGGCATGCATGTGGCACAGCTGTGTGTGGAGGGCAGGACAGCCTCAGGGTTCAGGCCTTGCCTTCTACCTTGTTTGAGGCAGGCTAGCTGCTCAGCAGGCCTCCCGGAATTCTCCTGTTGCAGCTTCCCATTTGCTGTGGGAGCACTGAGATTTCTTTCACAGGCTCTGCGGACTCAAAGCCGGGCCCTTACACTTGCACGCAAAGCGCTTCACTCACTGGACCATCTGCCCAGCCCCTCGGAGACTTCCAATGTCAACGTTTTCATTGGATAATGGACGCTGGGAAGAGACAGTGAATGCTGAAACTTTCTATCATCTCCTGGATTTGAAATGGACGAATTGGTGAGAAATTTGGAGAACTGGGCTGTTGCTGCCAGTGGTGGTTTGGGACTCCCGTGTGTATGTAGCTTACATGAAGATGGTGTTGAGCAGTGGGCAGAGTCTCGGCATTACCATTAGATGGGAACAGTCACTTTTTCTGACGGTTCCATGATGTGCATGCAGGCTACTGGGCTGCTTGGCTTTTGATTTCGATTCTGTTTTTGTGTTTTGAGGTAGGGTCTCTCTATGTAGCCCTGGATGTTCAGGAACTCTATGTTGACCAGGCTGGCCTGGAACTCTCAGAAATTCTCTTGCTTCTGTCTCTGAAGTGCTGGAATTAAAGGCGTGGGCAACCATGACTGGCCTCTGCTAGGCTTTTGAAACGAGTTTTTGTGCTTATGATTTATCAAAGGAAACAATGTTGCAGATGTAACATGGCTAAGTTTAGATAGTATAAGTGACATACAGAGTCACACACAAACACACACACACACACACACACACACACACACGAAAGAATCTCTGGTTGTAAACTGATACAGGTTAGTGTGTTAATCATTGATACACAATTGGATATTCCTACGTGTCCAGTTGCTTCATGCTTACCTCATTACAGAAGTCAATGAAGAATTCTTGCTTCCTCTTTCTTCTTTCTTGCTTTTTTCCTAAGATGAGGCCTTGTTATGGTATCCCTGACTGCATGGAACTCACCATGTAGAGCAGGCTGACCCTGAACTTACAGTGTCTCCCACCCCAGCTTCTGCCTCACAAATCCTGGGATAATAAGCATGTGTTACCAGTCTAGCCAAAAGAGTGCTTTTGATTCCTTTCAAGAGAAGTAGAAACAAAGTTAAGAATCCAAGAGCTGGGCAGAGTGGATGACTCATTTGGCAGAGTGGTCACAAGAGCATGAGGGCCTGAGCTGGGATCCACAGCACCTGTGAGACACTGGGCATCTGTAATTCCAGTGCATGGGTGAGGGGAGAAGATGGATCCTCGGAGCTCATTGGCTAGCCAGTCTGCCAGTCTCACTGAATTGATGATCTAGCTCTTCCTGCCCATCTCTCTTTGCTTCCTGGCACCCAAGAAGTGAGCTAGTTTAATGCTCACCACCATGATGCTCTGTTTGCAATACAGCTAACTGATCACAGCCTCCTCTCCCTTCCCTGCGGGTCCATGGCAGTTAATGGTTGATGGAGAGGGAGAGATGTTTTCTTTAGTGGAGTAGCAACTGGTGAGTTCCCTATGTTCCTGTGACTAACCCTTAGCACCATATTCCTGTAAGGAATCCCACAGAAGTTCATTTGTTCACACATGCCAACAGTAACAATGAAAACAACAGCAACCCTTCTCCAAAACCAAAACACCAAAACCCTGAGGGTAGAAGGAAGACGAGCTGAGAGGAGGAGGATCAGTAGGCATGAACAAGAAGGTAAGGGGTTTGCAAATGGTATAAAAATATTGTGGTGGTATTGTGTTCCCCAATAATATTTTTATTAATAAACTTATCTTAGATAATTAATAAAATTATTTATCTAATAAACTTATCTGGGGTCAGAGAACAGAACAGCCACAATATTAAACATAGAGGTTAGGTAGTGATAGCACACGCCTTTAATCCTAGCATTCCAGAGGCAGAGATCCACCTGGATCTCTGTGAGTTCAAGGCCACACTGGAAACAGCCAGGCATGGTGACTCACGCCTTTAATCCCAGGAAGTAATGGCAGGAGGCAGAAAGGTACTTTAGGCGTGAGAATGAGGAACTATAGCCTGGTTAAGCTTTTAGGCTTTTGAGCAGCAGTTCAGCTGAGACCCATTCAGATGAGGACACAGAGGCTTCCGGTCTGAGGAAACAGGATCAGCTGAGGAACTGGTGAGGTAAGGTAGCTGTGGCTTGTTATGTTTCTCTGATCTTTCAGCATTCACCCCAATATCTGACTTCAGGTTTGTTTTTATTAATAAGATCTTCTAAGATTCCTGCTACAAAATATACAACAAACAAATATAAAAATCATTCCTAATCACAGTGTTCTGTATAATACACACACACACACACACACACACACACAGATAAAAATGTAAAGCAAAACAAAAATAACTTTTCTGAAACCATGAGACCAAAACCCCTTTCCTCCCATAAGCTGTTCACCTCAGGTATTTTGTCACAGTGACAGCAAACCAACCCAAGTACAGCTATGACTTCTTTTGGTTTTATAATCATACCTTCTCCCAATTTACCATAGCAGTTGGTACATGACTGAAAAACAGAATTAGACAACTTCAAGGTGCTTAAATTCCTGAACCATGTTAGAGCTGACTGCAAGGTAAGCCTCAAGCAATATTTAGCCTGTCTCAAATGCTTTCTATTTCAAACACTGATGAGACCAAAGAGACTAAACATTGCACAGAGTGTGTGTAGGAGGGGATGGTGAGCTTGGGCTGGGAGCCCAGGGGTCCTTGTTTACATCAGGCTTCAGTTATACACTCACATTATCACTTTGACTCAGCCTCAACTCCACCTTCATCTTGAAATCTGACTGTTCAGGCTGTCATTTTAACTCCTGGCAGAAAGAAAAGGACTTGTGTTCACTGGAAACAAAAAGCAAAACACCCTGGAGATATTTTATATACAATATCCATCATTTAGTGAAAGACTGAAAGGTTTGTAAAGAAGAAGAAAAATGAAACCCACAATCAAGAGGAAAAATAATCAATAGAAGTAGATCCACAGATATGTGGAAATTAAAAGGGTGGAAAACAAGGATAATGTCAATCCAAATCAAAGGGAATCAAGAATGCTGTATTATTAAAACACAGCTCAGCCAGGAGGTAATGGCTCAGGCCTTTAATGCTAGCACTCGGGAGGCAGAGCTAGGCAGATCTCTGTGAGTTTGAGGCCAGCCTGGTCTACAGAGTGAGAACCAGGACAAGCACCAAAACTACACAGAGAACCCCTGTCTCAAAAAACAAAAACAAACAAACAAACAAACAAAAAACACAGCTCAAAGTAAGATGAGCAGAATTGAAAAGGCATTGCAAATAGGCAAAGGGCCATTTCATCAAGAAGACATCAGTTCTGATGGTGGATTTACTACATAGCAGAGTTGTAGAACATAAGAAGTAAAACTGGAGCCGGGCGGTGGTGGCGCACGCCTTTAATCCCAGCACTCGGGAGGCAGAGCCAGGCGGATCTCTGTGAGTTC